TTAGCTAATCAACTTGATTGGATTACACAACATACTCCCAGCCTCTCTCGTCATGAGCCGTCTGTCCGTTATCAAGAACCACATGCTCGACTGAGGGAGCTTACAGATATGTATGTATGTGTGGGGTCACAGAGATGAGGTAGTCATTCAAAAATCATGTTGAACATTATTATTGCACACAGAGTGAGTTTACTCCTAAACTTATTATAGGCTTGCCATATACTGTATGTGTGTACCAGTATACATCATTTTAATAGCAGGACACTATAAAGTTCATTATTCCTATGAAGAGAATGAGTTAGGGGTTGTTTGAGAAGGTTTGAATCCTAAGCAACCTGCCTACACATAGTTTGAAGTACAACAGACCAACATAGCTACTGTAGTAGGTCAAAACTCTGTGCTGGAAAACCTTGGTGGAGCATGGGTGGAGTAGGCATTGTGGTGTTGATGGGAATTTCTTTTTCGGCTTCAGACCAATGCCTACTTCTCACTTAAAATATAGTAAACATAGTTTGTTTACAAACGTTGGAGTAAAACAAGCTTATATTTTGGGTTCTGATGGGGTACGACACTTGAACTAAGCTCATGAGGCATTTATAAGTTATATTATTCAAGAATCAATGGGTACATATCACTAATTTATAAGTCCAAAAATGGATGTAGAGACTGCTGATTGCCCCTTTAAGAATGGGAAGCATAGAAATAGCGCACATAGAACAGATCTACTGCTTCTTAGACCTGCTTTCAATGACAATGACAGATCTATAACTCACATTTCTATGTGAATTCGGCCGGGTTCGCCCAAAAAGTTCCATATTTCAGCTTTAAGAGGCGGTTCGATAATGACAACGAGAACACAGCTGACTCAGAGACTAAACCCTCACCCCTACACCCTAAACCCTAACCCCTACACCCTAAACCCTCACCCCTACACCCTAAACCCTAACCCCTACACCCTAAACCCTAACCCCTACACCCTAAACCCTAACCCCTATGCCATTACCTGGCGATGACAAACACTACACAGCTGACTCCGAGCCAGGCCAGAAGCACAGGGTTCACTCTAACCCCTACACCCTAAACCCTAACCCCTACATCCTACACCTAAACCCTAACCCCTACACCCTAACCCTTAACGCCTACACCCTAACAAAAACACTACACAGCTGACTCAGAGCCAGGCCAGAAGCACAGGGTTCACTCTAACCCCTACACCCTAAACCCTAACCCCTACATCCTAAACCCTAACCCCTACACCCTTACCCTTAACGCCTACACCCTAAACCCTAACAAAAACACTACACAGCTGACTCCGAGGTTGGCCAGAAGCACATACAGGTAACTGCCAAAATAAAGGAAACACCAACATAAAGTGTCTAATAGGGCGTTGGTTGGGCCACCACGAGCCAGAACAGCTTCAATGCACCTCGGCGTTGATTCTACAAGTGTCTGGAACTCTATTGGAGGGATGAGACACCATTCTTCCACAATAAATTCCATCATTTGGTGTTTTGTTGATGGTGAATACTTTCGCAAGCCACTGTATATCATCATACAGGTATATATATATATATCATCATACAGGTATATATATCATCGAGGTATATACAGTGCATTCGTAAAGTATTCAGACCCCTTCCCTTTTCCCACATTTTGTTACGTTAAAGCCTTATTCTAAAATGGATTAAATAAAAATACAAATTAAATCAATCTACACACAATACCCCATAATGACAAAGCGAAAACAGGTTTTTAGACATTTTGGCTAAGTTATTAAAATAAAGAAAAAGAAATACCTTATTTACATAAGTATTCAGACCCTTTGCTATTTGTATTTGTTTTTATTATGGATCCCCATGGCATCAGCTACTCTTCCTGGGGTCCAGCAAAATTAAGGCAGTTATACATTTTAATAACAGATTTCACAACATATTAAGTGTGTGCCCTCAGGCCTCTACTCCACTACCACATATCTACAACACAAAATCCATGTGTACATGTGTGTATAGTGCGGATGTCGTTATGTGTGTGTGTATGCACGTGTCTATGTTTGTGTTGCTTTACAGTCCCCGCTGTTCCATAAGGTGTATTTTTATCTGTTTTTTTTTTATTTAATTTTACTGCTGGCATGAGTTACTTGATGTGGAATAGAGTTCCATGTAGTCATAGCACTATGTAGTACTGTGCGCCTCTCATAGTCTGTTCTGGACTTGGGGACTGTGAAGAGACCTCTGGTGGCATGTCTTGTGGGGTATGCATGGGTGTCCGAGCTGTGTGCCAGTAGTATAAACAGACAGCTCGGTGCATTCAACATGCTCCCGAGTGGCGCAGCGGTCTAAGGCACTGCATCTCAGTGCTTGAGGCGTCACTACAGACCCCCTGGTTTGATTCCAAGCTGTATCACAACCGGCCGTGATTGGGAGTCCCATAGGGCGGCGCACAATTGGCCCAGCGTCGTCCGGGTTTGGCCGGTGTAGGCCGTCATTGTAAATAAGAATTT